CACACACACACACACACACACACACACACACACACACACACACAATGAAGGCCAGCAATAATAAAAAGGGAATTTTAGCTGAGAACTCTCTGGAGTGAGTTTTCTGAGAACCGTCAGTGTCAGTAGAGGACACTGGTGGGTCATAAAGAGGAATCTTGYAGTAATCCACCAAAATCTCAGGACGTTGGGGTCAATTGCAGGATTTAAGTGGTACAGTACCCGCTGCTTTTCCCTTCTGGAAGTCCCTAATGCTATCTGAGCTATTCTGCAATTACATGATATAGCACGGCTCGAAGGTTCCTGTGGAAACTAACGGTACACAGTTAAATTCACTTTCCACCTCTGTGCCACTGCACAAAGTTAGAGGAGCTTCAAGACCACCTGAGCTCAGGTTCAGTGTGTGGATGACTTTTGGTTTGTGTGTGTGTGTGTGTGTGCATCTGACTACTTTTGTTTGTCCGTGCGTCAGGAATCCTCGGGGTGTGATTTTTATGAAACACAAGTCTGCAGATTGTATTGAGGGAAGGCTGCTCTGCTCCCATGAACAGAGAAGGCCAGCCAAACCCAGCTGGTCAGGCAGATAACAGCTCATACGACCACCTCAACCCACCTTAAAGATACTGTTAGATACTGTGTGCATCAGCAAATCAAGACAGAAAAGGCGTTGCATTAGATGTTTTACAGTACCATAAGCAAAATTACAAGTTTGCTTTAAAAGATATTTTGTGAAAATGGCATTTAATTATTTGTGTCCGTGCATGTGTTTGTTAGAAAAATATCCCAATATAGAGGACTGATTTTAACAAAATTCTCAGAATGTACCGTATTTATTCAAGTATAATATGTAAAATTAAATCCATAAAATCATCCATAAAGTTAGGGGATAGTACTATACTCGGATAAATATTTTTACTTATGTATTTTAACTGAAATATCAGCTTCATTCACAAAATTTCTGAGTCTGGAAATGAGACCACGATGTAAAAAGCAGTTGAAGCAAGCTTACCTGTGACACTCCTCTGTGCCTCAGAGCGAGATAGTAACAGATCCATGTAGGCAACATGATGTGAAAAAAAGAAAGAAAAAAAAAGGCAGTCGTGCACCTTAGTAATGATAATGAACTCATGATATTAGCGTGTGACCAAGCTGCTGCTGGAACAACAACAAACACATGTTCATCTGTAATGGCGGCCGTCTACTGGTGCTCTGAAAAAGTTTGTATCCCTGAAAAAAGTTTCCCCACCAGAGGGGGCGCTTGCGAGTAGGAAGTAATCTGCTTTCCCCCCAGAAGATGGACAAAATCTCATGCGAAGTCTCTAACTTTTGTGTTGCCGCATCCTGGTGAACTATGTGTAAAATGCCAGAATTCATATGATGCTGCTACAGCTGATATATATTTGTTGTCAAAATACCTTTTTGTACATATGTTGTTAAAATAAAATGAACAGTCCAATGATCATTTTACTGGTATGTATAAAGACTGCAAAGGCTGAAAAATCTTGAAGTCTGTATGAAATTGGAGGTAGTTTGAGGATTATATTTCTTATGCTTTTTAAGCTCACAAAAGTGGGGGTCGTATTCTACATGAGATCGTATTATACACAAATAAATACGGTAAATATACAACTGATTAATATTTGAAGTCACCCATATTCAAGATGGCCGCCACAGCTTATTAACTTTGTTTTTTTATTTATTTTTATTTTTTGCCACTTCAGTAGAAAGCATAACTGAATATCAGAATATTAGTATCTTAGCTTCTTCATCATCAGTGGCTTTTTTAGTAGGAGAAAAAGAAAGAGAAAGAAAAAAGTGAAATGTAATGAGAAAGAGTGAAAGAGAGATTAGAAGATACGTATGTGAAATATATGTTGAGAAAACACAAGACAGTACACCCGACTTCTTGGCTCCACACCTACAAAAACAAAGATAGCAAAACTATAGCACCAAAAATGCATATCTATATAATTATAAKGACCATAGCCTTGCTGAAAACCATACCCATATACATATATAAATTTATACATATACACATAAACCTACCCATACCTGCATATCCAAACACTTTCATATACTGTATATATACACATACACATGTACATATATCTATATATCTAAACATACACATATGGACATACCATTCAGTCAGTGCCCGAATAGAAAACCCAGGATGTAAACACCTGTTTGTGTGCGGTTGTGAGCRTGCATGGATCTCTCCAATGGAATGTTTCAAAGTGACTGTGGGGGGACCACAGACCCGACCCGCAAAGCCGGAAGCYGACGTAAGGGAGACCAGTGCCAAAGACCCCGAGAGGGACCCCGAGACGGACCCCAAGCGCGCAGCCCCAGAGACACCCGTGCCGGAAGGGCCGCCCACCCACCCCCCAAAGTGGACCACCGGAGAGAACCAGAAGAGCCCACCAGCGACCACACAGCTTATTAACTTTAGAAAACACACACAAAAAATGGCTCTGAGTCAGTCCATTTTATAGATAGTTGGCTAAAATTTGGTGTTGTAGTAGCTGAGAGTCCTCCTAATTACATTCTCTGAGCGCTGATGGATCACAACACAGCTTTGTGTGAAGCTGTGGTATGCAAGATGACAGGTAATATGGATTCCTTCAAGGAATGCTGGTTTCATTTTAAGAGCGTATTCCAGTCAAAGTCAATGAAACTGAACAATATGACAGTTATTGTCCGTCTTGGCCTTTCTCTCTTTGATGTGGCCAGTTTAAGTTACAGCCGTGTTAAAGGAGACAGGCAACACTGGCAGGCATCCAGAAGCACAATGGACTCTACTCATGTGGCCCACGGCTGCCTCAATATGAAAGGAAAACGTGATCCAACGCTCGGCACATGGAAGAGTGCAAGAGACCTTTAGAGAAGATACTTTCTATTCTGGATAGGATTCCTACAGATGCAAGCAGTGCGCTTTGTTTTAGGGCCCCCAGGGGGCCCGCCTTTGAGTCATGTTTAAGCTCTCCTCTGTCTGTCTGCATGCCACATTTAAACAGATGTGAGGCCCTGCGACATAAATCACACACTGTACTTCATCTCCTGCACATTACCATTTTATGTCATAAGCGCTGCTAGCTCATAACTTAAAGGGCCCAAATGAGGCATCAGATAGTGACCCGAAAATACTTGGAACGGTTTTCCCATTAAAACGCAGAGCTCAGGCTGCAAGAGCTGAAGAGTGAGATGTGTTAGGAAAATCCAACAACCATATTGTTGATCTGGTTGCTCTCTTGTGAGAAACTTTTATGGGAAGGTTTGAGCGCATTTTGAAGTGACAAACCGAATGAGAAACTCATAACTTTGCACATATTGTTGTAAAATTTTAACCAATATCAAAACTGTTTTCAAAAGTTGCAGACAGAACATGTGCTTTATGTGTTTTTAACTGTATGTTTGCAGTAAATTACAGAAATTCTAAAGTGTAACTTAATGACAAACAGCATTTTATTTTAAATTTTTTTGCGAGTACAAAATGTCCTTTTTTGTGCTTTTAGGGACTTTGTGATGTTTATAATTTATGTTTTTGTTTATATAAAACTGAATTCTTCCAAGAAAGTAATTTTCTACAGCATCACTTTTTTTTTCACATCAAAGTGTCATTCTGTAGTTTTTGTGGTCATTTTGAGGCTTTCATTCCAAAGTGAGTTTGTGAGTGACCTGTCATGTTTTTATACTTAGTATCCAAAGTGCACAAAGAGTTTCAACATGTTTTTTGTTGAAAGATTCTTGTTTGAGATATGACAGACAAAAAAAGGCAGCAGAAAGAAGAGACTAAAGTGGAGAAAGTGATGGTAACATTAAAGCTTTGACAAAGTGAAGTGCTGTAAAATTCTTGGACTCTCTCCATTCTCCATTTCCACCCTGGCTCAATGTTTGAAGACGAACAGCAGGGCTTTCCAAAAACACCTCCCTATACTGCCTTTTACTCTGTTTAATGTTTGACTCACAAACCTCTTATCCTCCACAACAATAACTCAATGACACCAAAATATTTGTCAAAATCAGTCATTATTTGAGTCTTTTTTAACTGAACAAAAATCTCAAAACTTTATTTTTGTACAAGTTAATTACATAGTACATACATTTTCCTGCTGCTTTAGCAAAGACATGTCTGTTTATTTGCTGAGAACAAACAAAAAAAAAAAATGCTGCATACACGCCAAGCTACACAGAACTGATTCCCCCCAGAACATGGCAGCAATTCCCTGAGAGACAAGTGATGAGGGTGGTTAAAGCCTAAATTATTTCTCAGCAGTATCTAGATGGTGGTTTTCAGTCTGAGCTCAACTAAATTTCAGGCTCCCTTTTTTGACACATGTTCTGGCATCAACACAGCTGGGCCCCCTGCCAGTACACCGCCCCAGTGAAAACCCAAATGAATCGCAGTGGAGGCTGCGTGAGACACAACAAACTTGAAGCGAACCATTAGAAAGCGTTAAAATCCGGTGTCTGTTTCAGTGCTCCCAACAGCACCAGACAATTAAAAGCCTGACCCCGACAGGCCTGAGAACGCACGGGAACCCTYGGAGGAGGAAAAAGTGGCCGTAAGAATACGGACCGCCTTTAACAAGGACGCACACACACAAACGCTCAGTGGCAGTGAGGAGGCTCAACTCCCCACGACCCAAGCAGCAAAAGCCTGACAAACTTTGACCTATCTCATTAACTGTCCAGACACTGAGGTCTGGACTGGGGTGATAACCTTTGGACCCTGACTTTTAACCCCGGGGGTCTGAACTGTGCAAGGACTCTCCGCAGTGTGTGTGTGTGTGTGTGTGTGTGTGTGTGTGCATCTGACTACTTTTGTTTGTCCGTGCATCAGGAATCCTCGGGGTGTGATTTTTATGAAACACAAGTCTGCAGATTGTATTGAGGGAAGGCTGCTCTGCTCCCATGAACAGAGAAGGCCAGCC